AATGTGAAAATTCCAGTACTTTTGAAGCTCAAGGATCTTGATGTATAAGAGTCTAAATGGCTGTTGCAAGAAATGTTCATGATGTACAGAGCTTTGAACAGCATTCATACCCTTAGCGTCTGTACCCTTTCTGTCAAATTACAACCACAAACTCCTCAATGTAATTCTCATGAGATTTTTTGCTCACAGGGTGAACAAAGGCTTTGACTTACATGCAAAAGCTATTCTGGTAGAAAGTTAACACTGAACATCTCAGCCAAACAAACTACACCCACAACAACCATGAAGAACACAGCTGGGGCTGTGGTATAGTGGTTGAACCTTTATTTATTCATCACTTCTTCCTTAAACATTCATGAATTATTTCATTTTATTTTACAGTTATTTAAAATGCTCTAGGTTTAACATTGCTGTTGTAATCTTTCGTCACATATAATCGTTGGTTTGTTGTATAGAGTGTTGTATTTTGCCAGTCAGTTAGTTGTGAAGATGAGTTTATTAATCTTATTCCTCTTTTTTTTGCCTAGACTGTATTGTTTAGTTTAATCTTCTAATGATGCAGACTAAAAAGGTACAGGTGTGTTTCAGGTCTATGTGAAATGAATGGATCTGGGGAGCTGAGAGGAGCTTAAGAAGAATTGTAAGAAGTAAATTATGCATTTTTTGTGGCTTATCAAAGATGGCAGAAATGAAGCCGTCATCTCATAAAATCCACCAAGAAGAAACTCAAAATGTCTCCCGATCCTCTCTACCTACCTTCATCCTTGTCACTGGTATAAGAAGATGCAGAACTAAATCTAATAGAAAATCGATTGCTAGACTTGAAATTTTATTTCCAGATCCAATCTGACTGAGTGTGAGAAATTTACTGCAGAAATGCAGTAGGGCAGCAACGAAGAATAAGGAAGTGATGCATTATAGTTCTTGCTTGCTTTGTCTGTAGGTGCAGGAACAAGTCATCAGGTCTGATTGGAAGGTTTATGTGAGCGAGTCAGAGTCCTGCTGAAGATGAAGAAAATACTTGTTGTTTTCTGTAAGTAAACTGACAGCAGATTGAATCAAAATCTACATTTTAATTATTTTTGCACAATGAACATTGATGTGACTCTACACTTTTTGTCTTCAAGACATTTTGCTAAACCAGGTCATTGGCCAGACAGAAGGTGAGCGCAATATATGACAATTCTTAACAGAACAAGATGCCTTTTAAGATGTTATGTTGCTACATTTGTCTGTGTGTCTTTTTCTGTAGACTTGTATCCTGTAAAGATTCTGGTCCGGCAGAGAACTATAAGCGAGGGCAGTGACCTTCATGTAATCTGCAGCATATTCGGGCAAAAGAAGTACCTCTCTTTTTATGTTTATTTACTGAAAGATGGACAAGGATTTCAGAAATTGAAACCATGGCAACATGTGGATGATGTTATTTTCAAAATATTTAATGTTCATCTTGATCACAGTGGAAATTACAGCTGCTTGTACTCCACTAAAAATTACAACCCTTCTGATGTAAAAAGGAAAGGACAGGATGTTGCTGAGACTCTGGTTATACGTGAGTATTTTTTATTCTTGTTAATCCCACATGCAACTTCTTTAATTTCTTATTTTCTCCAACTGCTATGCAGCCAATTTCATCCCAGCAGAGCTCTCCATAGCTGGACCCTTCACAGTTAATGAGGGAAGCAACGTTGAGTTTAAATGCACCTTTTCAGAAATCCTGCACACTCTCAATAACTGTCAACTCATCTACTGCTACCTGAAGAAGAATGAGACCATCCTTCAAGTACAAGTATTTGATCTTGCTCGGATGGAAGCCTCTTTCACCATTGAAGGTGC